CATCGGCGAGGGCCCCACTATCAGTGCCGGCGACGCCTGACGCGACCATCACCACTTGGTTCCACGAGACGTTCCAAGAGCCGTTGTCGTTGTCCAAGCGTGTGGCAATGCGGGAGCTCTTCCCTATGGCTGGTGCTCAGGCGTCTTGAGCAAGGGTTCACTCAACGTCGTAAGCTCTTCGGTCGCACATCTAGTTTTTTAGTTAATTACAACAGCGTGTGTTTCACCGTCTAGCGATGCCTTGTATTCGTGTTCAACCCTATCGCTCATGACACCTCGCTGTGTTGTGACGTTGGACGTATAAAACTTCTAACTTGTTTTTAATAAAACACGTGTAATGCACGTTCTAGAAAAATAAATAACTAAACTCTAATCGGTGAATAGTTTGGAGGCCAGCGAGCCCCACTGCTATTGTTCACAGCAAACATTGTTCGGATACAGTACACCTCAGTCAGTGTTCACTTTTAACTTTCACCACTGTTTACTCTCCACACACCATTGCTGTGTACATCATTTACTGTTTGTAACTCCTTTCCTGTTGATACGCCTCTACGGTAGCCGGCGCGGCGGTCGCGCCTGCCGTGCTATATATATATATATATATATATATATATATATATATATATATATATATATATATATATAACTGTTATGTAGCTTGTCATAGAATAAGTTATTCTGTGATCACTTTGAGTTACGACAGTTACTATGCTAATTTACGAGAAAATAGTAACTCTTTATTAAGTGATTTACTATAACATTATGATAAATATCACCATGAGTTATAATAACACGAGTATACGAGTATATATGTTATGCACACCTGTTTTCCAAGCAAAGCAGCCAACTAGTCCAATATAGGCTTTGTCGAACAGCAGCAACAACATTGCAGCATCCATCCAGTCGTTCGACCGATAGTTTTTGCTGTTGATAAATCGGCTGCGGCTATTTTGTTGTGAGAAAAAAACATTATACCATGACTGATAAGTCGGGCTGATAAGAAATTTGATTGGAATCAGAAGCCTTTGAATTTAGCTACTACTAATAATCTGCGCACGGATTTCAAATATGAAACCATCCATTTCAAAAAATAAAGAGAAAAGTTCTGAAAGCATTTGCTTTGTACAGATTGTGGATTTTATTCTTTACGTATTTCTATTGTCGCCCGTGTGTCACGTGGTAGTAGCATTGTCCGCACATAAAATCAACATTGGGGTTTTGGTGAGATGCTTAGCAAGAAAGAGGAAAAGGAAAAACGAAGGGCCGGATGCAAATGTTGTCTGCATCTGTGTTAGTGTGTAGTATGTGTGTGTTTCACCTATAGTTTTGTACATCTTTACCCATCATCTCGTGAAAACCTCAAAGCTCACCACAACCAACACCACTTCACTTCCCAACAAAAAAAGAAAAGAAAAGAGAGAGAGAGAGAGAGAGAGAGCACCACCACTATATAAGGCCACGTTTAGTTTGGTGTCCGATTCGGCGCCGCCAAATTCAGGGAAGTACTATACTTTTTCGTTTTTATTTGGTAATAATTGTTTAAATATTGACTAATTAGGCTCAAAACGTTCGTCTCGTAAAGTACAACCAAACTGTGCAATTAGTTTTTGATTTCGTCAATATTTAGTACTCCATGCATGTACCACAAGTTTGATGTGACGGGGAATCTTCTTTTTGCATAGTGCCAAAATTGAGAATTTGGTGGAACTAACAGGGCCTAACATACAGGGGCGTTAACCTCAAAAAAACATACAGGGGCGTTCATTGGTGATGAAAGGGAACTGGCTCCCTGAACCGGGCTGGGGCAGGCCACACTACGGCCCTGGAACCGCGTTGGCTTGGATTCTGAGCGGAATAAGCGAAATAAGCCCGCCAAACGGTTTGTGTGAGGATGATTATCTAGATCGCCACCGTGGTCAATTATCGCCCACAACAGCGATGGAAAACGCGGCCCCGACCCTGCGATTCCGAATAATCGGCCTCCCACTCCTTCGCTGTCCCTCCCGGTCTCCTCGCTCTCCTCTAGATCCGGCGCCGGCGGCCAGGCATCCACCGCCGCCGCCCTGCTCCGGCCAGGCGGACGCTCCCCCACCATCCCCACCCCGCGCCGCGCCTCCTCCGTGTGCCCCGCGGTTACCTCTCCGTCTACCGGAGCCGCGCCTCCCGCGCCGCCGTTCGTCTCGTTAGTCCTCTGCGGCGGATGGTGGATCCACTCGCCCCTCGAGCGAACTCACTTTTAATATTGCCGGTCGGAGAATCACAAGCAACAAATATGCATGGGCCCCTGATGAGGAGAGCAAGAGGAGGGTGATCGGATGCACGAGGTACCTTAGGCACATTGGCAGGCACCGGCTCTGTGGAGCGCCAGGTCATCTTTGCCACCAAAGCGGCCGTCCGCCCGTCCTCGCTGTGGAGACCGCTGGCGTGTGGCGTCCCATGCGCCTACATATGCCGTGCGGCTACTTCGCGGGCGTCGCACTGGCCACCATCGTGCAGGTCCTGTCCCCCGCACCCCCGGATGAAAAAGCCACCAAGCAATGCAACACAAAGGTACTGTACGTGGCCGAGGAAGACATCGGCGGTTGGCGCCTACGTGGTCACACGGTCACTGTTCAGGGCCGCGGCCGCCCCCCAGATAGGAAACCAGATGCTGTTCATAAAGCCGCCGGCCAACTTGTCGCCCAGCGAGCTCTTGTCGTGTCGCTGTGGGAGAAGAAGACCGACAGGACGTCGTTCTGGCAAGTCACGTCCCCGAAGATGCCGTTCAAATAATGATCTGCATATGCTCCTCTGGCGCTGGTCCATCATCGTGCACCCGTCCTCTCTCTCTGTGCGGCCCTCAGGAGCGGGATGAGCATCTGAGAACGAACACGTCCCTAGCGCGTCCCGACCGTAGCGCCCCCATGTCCGTCGGCCCCCACGCCCCCATCAACGGCCCCGGCGTGCCGCATGACCCGTTCGCTGGCCCCTGGCTCACCCCAAACATATAACACTTGCAACATGAATGCAAAACTGATGAAACATTTAGAAACATGTATGTGAAATACATGAAACATCTAAAATAAAACACCTTGCAACTTGTAACATGAAACCACTTGCTGTAATTTAAGATTGAAACAACTGAAATATTTGGAACATACCGTTGCAACATATGCAACACCCAGATAAAAAACGATTGCAGCGTATGTATAGAAATACGTGAAACATTTTGAACAAATGCTTGAAACATACCTCTCAAAATCCTTGCAACATATGCAATATGTGCAACATACCTCGATCTACTTCTACAACATCAAGATAAAAATAATTGCAACATACATCTGAAACGCCTGAAACACTTGAAACACACATATGCAACATACGGGGGGAAGGCCGGGCCGGTCGATTCTGGTCGTCGGGGTAGGAGCCGGCGCCAAGCCGCGAGGCGAGCACCACCAGCACTGCCCTCGCTCGTGGGTGCCCTTGCTCGGTCAGGGGAAGACCTGAGGTGCCACGGCACATGCGCCCCAGTAGCCATGGCGGGATCAGCAGCGTGCGCGATGGCGATGGGAGACGGACGGACGGATGGCGATAGAGCGATCGACACAGGTGTCTGGGATAGGCGCGCGGCGTGGCCGGTGATAGGGCGCGGGGCGGTAGGGCATGGCACGGCAGCCAACGAGCGCCGACACGTGGTGTGGGAAGGGGCGCAGAAATAAGTGGCCACGTTGCTTTTGGGCCGGACAGACAAGCATAAAGGAGTTAGGGACACGGGCGGATAACAAAGGAGTGGAGATTTTGTTTTTTGTTTGAGGTTTGCTACAGGGGAGCCGTGTCCGGATGGAAGTCACGGAGGGACGTCCAAGTTAGGGGAGCCGCATCTAGACAGAAGTCACGGACGAACGCGAGTTGGATCATTATCGAATGAAGTACATCACCGTTCGCGACTACCTCAACAGGTTGCTCCGTCCCGAGAGGTTCCTCTTCCTCTTCCTCTGCGCCTCCTCCGCAGGGGCACAAACACATGCTGACGTCGCTGGTGGCGTTGTGCTGCATACTTCTATGCATATATGTATGGATATGGATGGATGTTATGTGGTTGATCCAGTCATCCAGATGACCCAGACAATGAGCCAACGAAGGTGATGACTGAGCGACCTGCGGGCAGCAGCGGCCTGGCGTGAACTGAAGAACATCCTAGAGGATTTCCCCAAAATACTTGTTTAGCTGGCAGTTTTCTTTTGTCAGTTATCTTGCAAACTTGAGTCTTGTGTTGTTGATTGACGAATTTGGTCACCATGTGTCGCTCTGTTCCACGAGATAGTCTAGCGTGTGATTCCGGTTGTTTTTCTCCCCCATCTGTTTCTGGACGACAAAACTTACTATATATTTCCGTTATCACGGGGAGCCAGGGAGGGGCCACGTTTCGAGGAAAAAAGAATTGTCAAACGCTAACAGCAAATATTCTGCGTTTGACTTTTGATGTTTGATATTTATTTATGACACACTGGGTCAAATATTCTGCGTTTAGCGCCCTATTCGTTTGGCTTTCGTTTGTCTTATAAGCCGTACTTTTTCAACCAACAAACAATATTTTTCTCTCACAACAAATCAACAAACAGTACTTTCAACCATGGCTTATCGACCAAGCGAAGAGGGCAAAAGTTTTAGCATTCTGTTCTGGTTTGATACAAATGAACAACCGCCTACTTCACCTGCCCAACTCCCAACCAAACAACTTGCTGAGAGCATAGAGCTTATTGTTTTAGGGCCCAGATATGTATGTAGTAACTAAACGAAATAATTTATCTGAGACGCGAAACTCGCTATACAAGCATAGGAGGAAGGAATCTAAGCACAATATCGAATTAAACAGTGAGCCCAGAGTCAGAAACAGGAGCGAATATCCGTCTACCTCTAGATATGAATGAAGTATTACACTTGGTGTTTAGCACATCAAATATCATCATCCACCGTATCTTGTTCCCCTGCCAAGCTTCCTACTGGGGTAAGGTTCAGAATCAGTCTTTTGAGGAACTGGTGCTGGCCACACCCTTCTTCCCACCATATTTCTGGCATCACAATTGTAGGGCAAATCATGAGAAATGAAACAGCTGACACTTCACCAAATACATAATATTGTGTGGCAACTGCACAAGCATTTCTTTAACATCACAAAGTACAGGTCAAATTGATCTGTGAACCGCATCTAATGACCTTTAATGAACGCAAACCTTATAATAATAGACAGAAAGAGAAAAACACTGTCTATGTCAGTGTTATCAAGTCATCTGATAAATCGCAATTAGTTGTCCTAGTTGGCATCCCGGACTACTAGGGGCCACGACTCAATTAGGCCAATTAATTTTCTGGTTATCCGATCAGTCATCGATTAATCACGATTAGTCAGACGACCAGAGACAGAATGGAATTGCTGGGCAGTTGAGGACATGGGCTGCATCTGGGATGGCTTAGATCACTTGGGCTCATGTTTTTCAGCCCAATTTGCAACCGCACATGCAGCCACCAGCCTAGAGTTATCTTCATGCTTGATTTGTACTCTAGAACATATAGTATATTAGTATATATTTGGTATATTAGTCCTGATATCACCTAGTCGGTCCTATGGCGACAAGTCTTGACAAGACGACTTGATAACTTTGGTCTACGTGTTACTTAGACAAGCAACTCCCATGATATCCACAGCAGTTGGCGTCAAGCGCATGACCATTCAGTGAATAAACAAAAATCAATGACTTTAGTGGTAGGTACTGACCTGCTTCCCGATACTGAAAGGCACATATTTGTATTTGATCATATGCACAATCTGGCGCTTCATTGTAAGGACAAAGAGAACAACCCAGTAGCAGAGGAGTATAGGCCAGAAGACAGGAACATCAAACACTGAGAAGAAAGTCATCACAAAAGCTATAACAAAAGCTTTTGTGATTGCATACCTGAAAGATAAGGAAATAGATGTTAGGAGATATATTGGACAGGAGCCGCAGGAAAGAGCTTCTGTATTAAGAATGAAAAAACTAATTTAGAAAATACTAGAAACAAATGAGCAAACACTAGGGATGCAAGTTTTGCTTTCTCTCTGGGTCATTGGGTTCACCCAAAACCCATTTGATTGATCTAATATGGATTTCAAAGAAAAGCAAATGGGATAGAAATGAACTAGCTGGCCCAGAAGGATAAAATTATAAGCATTGAATACAAAGAAAGCAGTCAAAACACTTTGTATGCATGCTATCAATAGCATTCTCACAATAAAACCTTGCAGGGTAACAGTTCAATCAACACAACTCCCAACTGTGGTTAAATAGAAAAAAGGAGTACACGACACTAGTTATGGTGAACTATCAACAAAAGACTGAACACCTAACAGAAGACTCCTGATGTAAATTTCAGAAGGCAATCATCAATTCAGAAAGAAACCATCAGTATCTGGCTACCTGAACTCTTTCACCAAAGTGGAAACACTTCAATCTTGGGCTAAAACGAATTTTACCTTAATAGCTCACAAAAATATAAATGATACAAACTATGTCGGGTTACGATGTAAGTCGTATTTTTAGCTGCGATATCAGTAAATCCATCCCATGCACGTTTAGCTATAGAGACCTCCACAGAACCACCCTCGGAAAATGATATTGCAGAGAAATGTCACAAAATACAACTTAAAACCCACTAGAACAAGCACATGGGTAGTGCATAGACAAAAGGTCAGACTGCTGAGCGATAGTAACTAGGCAATGCGGACTTTTGAATGTGTGATGATCAGGACTCTGACAAGCTATTGTGTGGCTGCCGTTTCGAAGAACAGAAGCTATATTACGCATTAAGCAGCTTACTAATAATGATGACCCAGGCATATTCCTAACGAGGAAAGAAAGAGAGATTCAGCAAGAATCGCCAAAACTATTCAAAAAGTTGGACTAGTCCAGAGAGACACCATTAAAAATACATGTACTTCAACCAGAATGAAGGATGAAGGCACTTCAGACTAATTCTAATTTCAAGGAAGAAAGCCCCTCAGTCCCATTATCTATCTATTTTTTTTGGTGGAACTACATCAGAAGCATTTATGTTTCCCACATCATCCACTGGAATCACAAAACCTATATGGTGCAATTGCAGGGACACAACATGCCTTGAGTGGGTTCATTCAGCGATTTGGCTGTGGTTTGGCAGATAATTGACAGGCTACACGGCTTGGTTGTGTCGGTGGAGGGTATGTAAAATCAAGAGTTCAGCATTAATCCACACATATCGACAATAATTTTGTACCTAAGGTCATGGCACGCTGACTTGGAATTAAACAACCTTAGTCAGGTGACACGCAAGCTTCGTGACACAGAAATCTAACACAAGTTTATATAATTTTGTAGCCATATTATTTTCTCGCCAAAGAAATAAATGGAAAGATCCTGTACTTTGACAGGAAGTCTACCAGCTGGTAGTTTTCACTAGCTAGCTTATGATTGATCAGAACAGAATGGACTGCACAACTGTTATGTTTCCTATTGATGATGGATTCATGGACACAACCACGTGAACATCAGCTTGCCACAGTTAGTAGACTTGTGTGCAAAATATAACTTACTGCGGCCTGCGGGGAGGGTGAGGAGTAGCTGAGCAACAGTACCTCCAAAGTCAAGACAGATTCGTAACTGGTTTCCGAAATGCAAATTGGCTTGGCTCTGTCTGGATTATGAGTAGTCGTGCCTAGCTATACAGAGAAGATAGGACGGCGAAAACTAAACTAGCGAGGCCGATCCGATCGCCCCCTTCCTCGAGTAAGTAAATACATACACGGGAGCGAATCACCCCAGCCGACCAGAGATAGCAAGAAGGCCAGACGGATCTGGCGAGGCGGAGAGACAGATCTGGGGGCGAGGACGAGAGATCTGACCAGAACTTGAACTCGGCGAGGCGCCTGATGAAGGGCTTGAACTCGTCGGACCCCCGGGTGGGCAGCGCCGGCCCCTCGGCGGCGGCGGAGGGGTCAAGCTCGGGGTCGACCATGGGGGAGAGGAAACCGATGAGGAGGTTGAGGAGGTAGATCCCGAGCCCGTAGGTGACGATGTAGAAGCCCTGCACCATGTAGACCCGCAGCGCGTAGATGGCCGCGGCGGCGAGCGTGCCGAGCCACCGCCCCGTGGCGTGGGGCGTCGAGCGGTCCAGGTAGTACTGGAACGCCCGCGACGCGTCGCTCCGCCACTTGGCCGCCGCGGCCACGGCGCCGCCGGCGCCGGACGAGTCGCCGCCCTCCATCGGATCGGATCGGGGCGGGGGTCGGGGGTGGAACCCTGGCCTAAGTCAAGAGGCGAGAGGGGAGGTTGGGGACGAGGCCGAGGCGACTAGGTTCGGCTCGGCTCTTCCGGTTGGGAGTCGGTGCCGTTTACTTGCAGCTCGGCGTCCGCTCGGTTCTCTTCTCAAGACTGGGAACGGGACGGGCGGCGTCACCGTTGCCTTGCCATGGCATATACCGTCCTTCGTCGATTCAGGATTCTTTCTCTGTGTTGTGCTGCCTCAGCGACAAAATAAGTCGTTTCATGTTTTACTGCATCCGTTCGGCAACTAAATAATTTTAAATTTAACTAAATTTGTATAAAAATATTAATACTTATGATTTATGATACCAATAAGGATCATTAGATTAGTAATGAAATGTATTTTTTTTACTAATTTATTGAGAGAAATAAATATTGGTACTATTTTTTATAAACTTAGTTAATTTTCTTAAAAGATAACTTGGTTTAATTATAGAATAGTAGTATTTGTTTTAGACTGAGAGAGTATACAACGGACTACGAGTCTACGACTAAAAAACCAAGGTACTTTCATCATTTTATATAATAATAGTTTATAAAATATTTTTCTTATTTGACCTTCAATAATTGTATGGCTAAATTTGTCTTCAAAATAATTTCTAAATTTTTTTGGCATTGGCAAAAACATACACGTGTGTTGTAACGAAAGGGAAAAAAAATCATCATCGTACACCCAGATATTATTATTGTTTTAGACTAGTACTGTACATCTTTACTCTTCCCAAAATCCAAATACTTGTTATCGGTAAATCTATGTTTGTGGTATATAATGTTTTTATCGCTTCCCAAATCAGTTTGTCACTTCCTCGTTTCTTCACTTGATGATAATGATAATCCAATAACATATATAAACTAGGCTCACCCCATTTCCCCTCCTTTAATCCTCTGTTTTTGAAACTTAAACTTGACTGTACGGCCTCATTATTAACATCAACTAGCTCAGCTAAATTGCGAGCTACTGCAACGTTTATAAAACATGAAAACAACTCTGCCCAGACCTGAGATTGTCCAGGGACCCAACCTCTGTCCTGACGAGCTAATACATGAGCTAACCTCTGTCCTGACGAGCTAATACATGAGCTATTGAGTTATATGAACGGGATACATGTAATATGTTTTGATACATAAAAGCGAACAGCTAGAAGTTCTTTGATTGCCTTGAACAGTGTCCAGCTTGAACAGAGGTCTCTCTCCGTGGTAAGCTGGGCGTTCACCAGCAAGCTCGAATCAGTCTCGATTACAACGTGAGAAATTCCATGTTCCACCGCCATCTCCAAGGCTTTCAGACATGCAACAGCCTCAGCCATAGGAGCATCATGTGTATAGCCTTCATTGCCTGCTCCCACAAGAACAGAATCACTAGAACTATTTCGGATGATAAAACCCCAAGCGCCATCTTCGATATTGGACATAAGGCACCATCGACATTTATTTTCAGTCAATCCCCCTCCGGCGCTTTCCATCCCTGTCCATGCCTCCGGTTGAGAGTCGTAGTTGGCATCTGGTCCTTCGTTTGGTCCCCTAACATGGTGTCGCGGGGTAGTTGTCGCGGCAAGCATCGTTGTTCGTCGAGTATGTCATTGAGTGTGGGTCTCCGGTGACTCGGGTGGACTTAAGAACATAAGAGAAGATACGGCGACGTATCCTGGTTCAGGCTATCGGAGCCCTACGTCTAGCAGTGGTTGTTCCTTGTATTCGAGAGCATCCAAATCAAGGGTGACAACGAAAGAGAAAGAGATTTGGCAGGAGGATTGCTCGGTGCTATCATATGGCTCCTCGGCGGTAAGGTTTCTTCCCCGGCAAGGAAGAAGAACACTCCTCTCTCTTGCCGGGTTGCTCGGGGGAGGAACGCTCTCGGCTTGCTATGCTCTCGGAGCATAGCCTGGATACGGATGGGCATGTACCACGTGTGAATCTACAAAACATTAACCGAAACTCCTCTCTTAAACAGGATACACTTAATAATTATCCTTAAGCACCAAGGTCTTTTACTTCTGTAATTCGTAGCAAGCTGGTGGACCTCATCTCCATCTCCACATATATGCGTGTAGTCACAGATGAAGCTTCACGTTCTTCCTTGTCCGGGTTGTATTACCCCAAGCAACAAGTCCCATCATATTGGACGGTCATCATTGTGTGTTCAACCGACAAGTTAAACAGCCAGATTAAAGAGTCCAAACAATAATCACATTTTACTTTGATTTGATGAATAAGTAGTGCTGGTCTTTTGGCAGACGTGTAATGGATTTTCCAGATTCAAAAAAAAATCGAAATATGCCAATTTTACTTGTCAACACACACGTGCCGTGCGTTTGACACGAGCCATGCCGTGCTAGTGCGGGATGCGGTTGTGCAGGGGGCAAGGCCGCCCACCTCCATGCAATGGCCACGGCAGCCAGGCACCCTGTGCGCGCCATGTTGATGAGTGACGCGAACACCTCCTCCAGTCCTCCACGGCCAGCGCGGCGTCATGGCTGTTCCCGGCGAGGAAGCGCCTCACGAGCTAGAACATGCCGCCGCAATACCACGCGCTCGCCATGGCCCAAGACACGGGCGGCGCGGCGGCGCCAGAAAGCGGTCGACCCCTCGCCACTTGTGGCCACCGTCGCCGATGTCGACGGGGTGACGCTTGATGTGCGCCACGAAGAACTCGCCGTGTGCGCCGTGCGCGAATGGGATACAGTATAGGCGTATAGCTGCTTGACGTGCGCCGTGCCTTGCCTGTGCGAGCGGACGGGTGCACGAGGAGCAACGACGCCGCGTGTACAAGAATACCAGTTTTAGGCCCTGCTCGTTACGACGAAATTTAGCTGAGGCTAATGCTTATGCTAATTTATTATAAGAGAAAAACGTTATTTGTTCGTTGAAAAATAATACTAAAGTAGTATTGACGTACAGGGCCTTAGTTTCTTGGCAACACAACAGCATTCAGCATGACTCTATGCAACGCAGTCCGTAAGTGTCAGCTCACGCGCAGCGGTAGACAACAAACCGAACCGTTGTGCTAGTGCTGATGGCATGGAAAGTATCACCGTCAAAAATATATATATACTCCAAGAGTACATATGAGGGCACAATTATCTTTTCATCATCCACTAACAGCCAACTAACTGTAAATGGATGGCATTGAAGAAAAATAATAATTTTCAATAGCATATATATATATAAGGGATACTAGTAGTTCAATAGCATTAATTAAAGGAATTTTATCATATATATATATATATATATATATATATATATATATATATATATAAAGTAAGAAGAGCCACAAGCCCACAATCCACTCCTGAACCCAAAGGTTTGTGAACTAGGCCGAAATACACATAAGCCCAATCTGTCTACCGCCGATATTTGGGCTGGGCCGTCCTTTAGTGACCGCTTCCAGTTAGAAAGTTGTGGACCGTGAGCTGCTCGAGCTAACCGTAACGAAATCAGGAGGCCGAGAACAAATCGGCGTGTCCTTTTTCCCTAAAAAAAAATCGGAGTGTCCTTTCCATGCGAAGTATGTTGTCCACAGTCCACTGGCGATCAATCAGGTTCATGCCCTACGTCAGCACACAGGGTCGTGGCAAGCGGGTGCCGCACTTGTTTGCGGCGTCGCGCCGTGCTCATCGGCTATTAGAGCATCTTCAGCCGTCGGAGAGAACTCCGATCTAAAAACTAGTTATCGCGAAACATACAAAACGTGTTTTGAGATTTTAAAGATTTTATCTTCAACAGAATGAGAAAATCCAACCTCCAATGAGAAAGATAGTGGATCAGGGAAGGAGAGGTCTCCCCTTTATTTAAAGAGTAGGAGGCTATGATTTGAGGGATTGAGAATTTTTTTTTCTCATTGGAGTTGGGTTTGGGGAACTGCTGAGGCTACGTGACCTTTAAAATAACAATTTTTTCTTATTAGGGGTTAGGAAAGGAGGACTACCGGAGATTCTCTTACAGCCTAGACCTTTACCAATATAGTTCCCAAAAACAGAATTTTTCAAGTCGCTTGCATATTTGTTGATTTTCTTCAACCATTTTAAATATCGCGCACCTAAAAGATACAAGACAATTTTACATCAGATATCTCATACTATTTTTAAATCACCTCACCTCTTCTCTTTGTTCTTTCTCACATCCTTGTTCCTCCACCTCCAAATCAGCAGCTAGCTACGGCTAGCACCAGCCGGCCCTGACCAGGCCACAACCAGTCTATAGCCAGCCACCACTAGGGCCTTATTTAGATTGCAAATTTTTGCAATCTGGACACTGTAGCACGTTTTGTTTGTATTTGACAAACTTTGTCCGATCATGGACTAACTAGGCTCAAAAGATTCGTCTCGTGATTTACAACCAAACTGTGTAATTAGTTATTTTTTTACCTACATTTAATGCTCTATGCATGCGTCCAAAAATTGATGTGATGGAGAGAGAGTGAAAAAACTTGGAATTTTGAGGCAATGTAAACAAGGCCTAGGTATTTTGGACTTTGGTTGATTTAATTGGGTTTGGCCTAAACATTAAGTCCAACAAATTCCCAGAATCATACCAAATCCTAGTACAATAAAAGATTAATCGGGCATTGGAAATTTTAAGTAGGTGCTCCCGTAACGCGCACAGGTTTAGGCGCCCAGGCCACAGACATGAATGTGTGGCACCAGCGTAGGTTTTGCATGTCCAAACTTCCGTACCGTGGATCCACGTTTATCCTTCGTAAAAAGCGAGAAGGGAGAAATATGAGAGTGAGGGGCATCAAACTGAGACTGAAAGAGAAACGAGTGACAGATAGGAGAGAGTGGGGCCGGAAGAAAATTTTGATCTTCAATTATATGAGTATATATATAGATGTACATTAATTAATAGAACACGTGAGTAATGTGAATAATTCGTCAGAAGATAAAAGATTCTTTTTTTTCCACAAACAATCTATAGTACTCCAGTAAAGTTGCAAGTAGCCCT